GGCGGGCGGGCGTTTTCCACTGTCTGTTTTCGGCACTCCGCCAGCCAGCGCACGCGAGCCTGAATACGCCCAAGTACAGCATAATGAACACTCGTAAGTAGTCGTCTGTTCATCCACTCGCTGATTCCGCGCCTCGTTCGTTCACCCCTTCCCTCGTGTTCGTTATTTTGGGCTTCCAGTTGTACGCGTCTATTTATACATTTTTTCGTGAATCTTGCACGAGTCGCCGAAAAGAATCATATATAGGCCTATCTATGTTTTTTTTATATGGTATTGATGGATTTATTCCCTTCTCTACCCATACTACAATTCCATTGATCAGTAACGCAACGCAAAAGAATATATAGGAAAAAATAAAAGTTGAACGTAAGTGAAAGCGAATCTTGTAGGTATTGACACCGGGTCCCTCGTGACAGCCGGGTTCGCCATGAAAGCGTTTGACGTCAGTCGCTCTCACCCTTCACCTCAGTCTCTCTCCCTCGGTGGGTAATTCTGATTTTTTTTTTTTACAGTAAAAGAGGGAAAAAACAGGAAGAGGAGTAAGAAAAATGGAGAGAAGGGAAGGGTGGAGGAGACAAAAGAAAGGTAACGACGGGCGAGTTGGTAGTAAGCAGAGAAAAAATACGGGAAGGGAAGAGGGGAGAGGAAGCGGGGCAGTAAGGCAGTCAGGAAGAGCTAAGCGAACGGAGAGCGCGGCGCCTTCCGAAACCCAAATGCTTTCGGATGATTTTTTCGGGAGTTATTTCCTCCGCCTAACCGGCTTCGGGGAACGATGACAGAGTGAGCAAGAGCGAGTCTTTCATCCGAATCGACATCCACCGGCGTGGTCGTAAACGTCAGGCGAGAGAGACATCAGCGGATTTGCCTCGGTGTCAGCGGCGGCTTTGGAATGCTGACGAGTCTCATTATACATGGACATGAAAGGAGAGAGCGTTGGGAGTGGGCATTGTGACAGCGATGCGGCTCCCGAGGACAGAATATTGCTATATACGAAAATCAGGAGTATGTGACGCCACAGAGCCCGGATGGTGGCATAAGGACGAAAGGGTGATCTATGTGAAGTACCGAAGGAGAGGTTGGAGGCAAGGGGGCAGGTGCGACCCCCGATGCGCCCTCGCGACCCTTATCTACCGCATTCCCACAGGTATGCGAGAACCACGGGGACCCCGCGCTCCGTCGCCAGCTCGTTAGAGAAAGGTTAATGTTTTAACGATCGGTGGTATGACCTCACGTAATGAAAAGCGACTGGTTCTTACGTTTTTCAGTCGCGGTGGAGGAAAAAACGAAATGGGATGATTAGAGGAAAGAAGTGGTTGGATAATGACCAAAAAAAGGAAGAGATCGGATGATAAAAGGAAAGAGGAGGTTGAATAATGACAAAAAGAAACAGAGAGGATGATAAGAGAAAGAAGATCGGATGATAAAGGAAAGAGGCAGATTGGATTATGACTAAACGTAAACGGAAGTGAACGAATAACAAGAGAAAGAAAAATATCGAATAATAAAGCAGAGGGATGAGGAATAATAAGAGTGCTCGAGTCACACCCCATACTGCCTCGCGCCGTCACATCGAAATTCCGCGGCCCGTTAACCGAGTCACTTCTGCGTGGCGAGAGATGCGGCGCTGATTGTATGGGCCGCCACCTCCGAGACCCGTTTTGCTCCCGCTGTTCTTGCTTCCGGGATGCTCCGTTTAGACGCTGCTTGGATTGTTATGTTCTGCATTAAATTGCGTTTTTTTGTTGTTGTTTTTTCTTTATTCTGCGTTTAAGGGATGTGGTTGTTTATTGAGATGTATTTTTCTTATTCTTCGTGAAGGGATGTTGGGTTTTGTTAAGATGGATGAATGGATGGATGAGTTTACTTACGATTGAATAAATGTTGATTTGAGCGTTCTCTGCGTGTGTATATTTACATCTAAAGTTATGATGTATTGCGCTGCCTTCCAACGTCAATTTATGCAACGCGTGTAATATTCGCTTAAACACTTTCATATTAGACAGGAGCGCCCATAATACTGTGGGAATCGACTACGGGCGTGACGGAGGGTGTAGTCTGGTGCGCCCCGCGAGAGATATTTAGATTTGTAGTCGTGGATTTACATATTAATGGACGTTATTCCCCTTTCATATATATTACCAGCGACTTTGAAATATAATGGCCGAGAGAATGCAGTTATTAAAATCTGGATCCGTCCGGCATAATCTACGGCGGATTTTACAGTCCGGCGCCGCCCGTTTAGGCAAGCTGGCGTGAGGGATGTGGCGAGGAGGCGAGGCGGGGACGACGGCGAGAGAGAGAGCGTTGATAGAGTCTCGTAATGGTGGTCTTTTTGAGACCAGCGGCGTCGTGGCGAAGGAGACTTCTTCCTCGATTAATAAGGACAAAACTGAGCACGGAAGGAGGGTCGTCATGGCTCGCTTTATGTACGACCAGAAATAGATTTCCCTGTAGATAAGGCGTGGGTACTGGGTAGCCTCCTCTCGAAGGATGGTGTAAGTAAGAAGATGCAAGACAGAGGTATGTGTGTATCAGGGAAACTGTGAACGGCTCTGATCAGGAGTGAATATAAAGTGCAAAGTTACTGGCGGACGACCATGCTGAATTCTGCATACCAAGCAGTGAGGACCCGCTGGTGTGCTTGCGCTGCTGATGCTGACGCTGATGCTGATGCTGGGGATGGCGTGAAGATAGTCAGTCACGCAGTCAGTCGATCTGTTGCGTGTTAAGTTTGGGAGTGGTTCGTCAGTTAGTCAACCAGTCAGTAGGAAGAGAGTGGTAAGAAATCGTTAAGTTAATCAATCAGTCAGTCGGTCGGTTATCATTTGAGATGAGAGTGGCCAGTCAGTATGCTTAACCAGTCAGTCAGTCAGTCAGTCAGTTGTCCAGTGAATTGAGCGAGAACAGTTAACCAGTCAGTATAATTTTCGATGTAATATTTTGCGACTTTCGACAAAATAGACGTCGAAGAGTCTGTCAGACCCAAAAAAAGTGGTATTATTTTTTTAGATAAACTTTGCTCTCGTAAATGACGTTAGGACACGCCGACAAGAGAGCGGAGCATGTTAATAAGGGTGAATCTTGCCGGTAATGAAGAGAGACGCGCGAGTTCTGATGAAGGAACACGAAGGAGAAGGAGGAAGAAGAGAAGAGAACAGGAATATTGGCTCGGAAATTAGCGTCTGCTTGTGTCCTCTGCTGCTCTTCCTTCGTCCTTCTTTTCCTTTCTTCTTCTCCCTCTGCTTCTTCTTCCTCTTCTTTTACTACATTTTCTTATTATTTTTTCTTTTATTCTTCTTTCCTCCTCCTCTTTTTTCTTCTTAATATTTTTTATTCTTCTTCTCCCTCCCTCCCCCTCCCATTTTTCTTTTCTCCCCTCCCCCCTCTCCTTTTGGTCCACCTATTTCTACCCCCTCCCTCTCCTCCTCCTCTTTCTTCTTTTTTTTCATTTCATTCTTCTTTTCATCCCCCTCTCCCTTCTCCTCCTCCTTTTAGTTCTCCCTTTTCTCCCCTTCACCCTCCCCCCTCCTCCTTCTTTGGTCTTCCCTCTTTCTCCTGCTGCTGCTGCTCCTCCTCCTCTTTCCTCCTCCTTCTCTTCTTCTCCTCCACCTCCTCCTCCTCTTCCTCCCTCCATCCTCCGCCCCCTCCTCCTCCTCCTCCTCCCCCCTCTTCCTCCTCCTCCTCCTCCTCCTCCTCTCCTCCTCCTCCTCCTCCTCCTCCTATTCCTCCTCTTCCTTCTCCTTCTTTTAGTCCTCACCTTTCTTCTCCTCCTCCAGTTTCTCCCTTTTCGCGTTTTTTATTCTGTTTTCGACTTTCCGTTAGATTGAAGAAATTGCTGACCTAACTTCGTCTTTCACGTTACATTGACCCGAATTTGATCCCAAGATGAAATTTGATAATTCTCTTTCATATAAGTCTTAGCAATGAATTATTTTTTATTCATAATTTCCTCTTTATTTGCTTGCATCAAATTCTATTCATTTTTTGATGTCCGACAATTTTGTTTGAGTAGTTTTTTTATTCTTTGTGATGTTCATTTTAATTGTAAAGGAAAATATGACATATTTTGTCTGGCCATCTACGTACATGCGTGGTTCCGTGTGCGTACGTGTGTGTATGTGTGTGTGTGCGGGAGGGAGGCTTTGATCCACTTCAAAGGACGCTGTAAATAAACCTCTCTCTCTCACCTTCTCTCCCTTCACTCAAACATGACTTAAAAGACAGATTCCTTAGGATAGCGTATTAAAACGAAACGCATTTTTAGGACAGCGCTTAAAACCATTCGCATTTGAGTGCAAGTTACACTGCGACCATTTCGCGTGTTCCCTTTGCTGGACTCGAGGCACCGCCTTCTTGCCTCAGGCACTCGTATGCTATCTTCGGGGTGCCGCTCGCACCTGGAACTGTGCCAGGGCGAGAAGATATGCAAGAACGAGTAATAATAACAACCAAAGCGAAAGAACTCAGAGGACTTCCCCCTGATATATGAAATTCGAGCGCGTCACGAAGTGCTGTTAGGAGGCAGCGGCTGGAAGGGTGCTCGTTTGTTGTGTTTTAAGCTTTAGTTTTGTATTTTTATGGAAGGCTTGGGGATATCCTGCGATGGCGATTTGCATAGCTGTGTAAGGGTTTCTGGGGGTTGTGCACTTGCTTATAATTTCGGCATTTTCTGGTTCACAGATTATTTAAATTTCCCTCGTCATTTGGTGGAATTAAACTTGTTTTTTTACAGCACTTAATTTACCACTTGAAAGCCCCCCTCTCCTTCCTTCCTTCCTCCCTCCATCGCATCATCCCAATCTCCCTCCGTCCCCCATCGTCATTCCTGTCTCTCTCCCTCCTCCATATCAAAGGGGGAGCGGGTAAGGAGAGGAAAGAGAGGGGAATGGGTGGGTGTAGTGAAGAGGAAGGGAACGGTTGGGGGGGGGGGTATTCTCGCTCACAACAATTTAATATATAATGAGAAAGTGAAGGCTTATCAGCTCCTTGTTGTACCGCAGCTCGACGCTATCCTGGGCGAGTTCGGGGCTTCGGGCGACGGGGACCTGCACGACAACCAGCTGCTTGATAAGACCGACGGCGGGGACGAAGAAGACGACGAGGAGAGGGGAGAAGAAGAGGACAGAGACGATGAAGAGGACTTGGACGATCACATGTACAGAGGACACAGG